GTCTCTAAAAAAAAGCAAAGACTGCTAGGCGCCTGTGGCTCAAGCGGCTGAGGCGCCAGCCACATACACCTGAGCTGGCAGGTTCGAATCCAGCCTGGGCCTGCCAAACAATGATGGCTGCAACCAAAAAATAGCCAGGCATTGTGGCAGGCGCCTATAATCCCAGCTACTTGGAAGGTGGAGGGAGGAGACTTGCTTGAGCCCGGGAGTTGGAGGTTGCTGTGAGCTGTGATGCTACAGCACTCTACCCAGGGGGACAACTTGAGGCTCTGTCTCAAAATTTAAAAAAAAACAAGTATGAATTGTTTAAAACTTGTAGGGTAAAGAGGAGTTAGCTAGACAAGTGAGTGGGAAAAACTTCCCAGGCAGAAAGACCTATACATATAAAGGTCATGAAGCAAAAAGCATAAAACAAAATAGTTTAAGAATGGAAAGAATTTAGTAAAACTGTAGTGTACAGGGAGAATTGTTTTAGATGAGGCTTGAGGGGTCAGCAGGAGTCAAAACACAGAGTACACAAGGTTCCATGGTCCATGTTCAAGAGCTTGGACTATATCCTAAGAGATATCCTAAGAAAGCAACCAAAATGGTAATATCCTCCACACGTGAAAATGAGCAGATTGGGCATTTTTGTAGCTCTGAACCAGAGGCCCATGGCCTGGATCCTAAAAAGAATTTTTATATTTTTTACAAATTGTAAAAATAATGAAGGAAGAAGAATATGGGACAGAGACTTTATGTGGCTTTTCAAGCTTAAATATTTGCTATCTGGCCTTAGTCTGAGTCTAAAGCATTTTTTTTTTTTACATGTTTAAACTTCCATGCAACAATATCTTTAGGCTAACACTTAACAAAATGTAACTGATTTTTGTGTGACCAAAACATTTCTTACCTTCCCCTCCTAAAAAGAAACTTTGATGAGCAGGACTGATTTCTAAGTTCCAAAAGTCACTGAGTTCATCTTCCTGAGACAATTATGGTAGACATCTGTGCACCATGTTGATGACTTTTAAAATTCAGTCACAGTACCATCTTAGTGTTTTGTTACCTAAAGGTGAATCATAATGTATTCTTGTAAACAGTAACAGAAAAGAGGAGAGTAGAGGGAATTACAAATAAATATACTAATAATTAGCATATATACTAATTGTCATAGTATATATTATACTAGCATACTGTGTATATACATATATTTACACATACTAATACATATGTACATATATGTAAACAAAATACATATGATAAGCAAGGAGGAAAATATGCATACCTGTTAGAGTTCTCATGTCTATAAATAGTCACAAGGAGGCTTTTGATCTGTCTTCTTCCATCCTTATTCCATGTTTTCTTTGCTTCAGCCAGAATCTCATCTCTTCAGAGTTATTTACCTGATTGGAGAATTCACACTTTCATTCCTAAAGAATCTGCATTTTTAGTAGGCCATGTTTTTATTGTTGTTATTAAAGTTTTATTAACTTTTTTACTCCTAGATGTGGGATATTAAGAAGTACCTTAGGGACAGCGCCTGTGGCTCAGAGGAGTAGAGCGCCAGCCCCATATGCCGGAGGTAGCGAGGTAGCAGGCTCAAACCTGGCCCCGGCCAGAAACTACCAAAAAAAAAAAAAAAAGTACCTTAGAAAATCCTTTGGGTTCCAGATGTAATCCTCTTTACCCTCCTTGTGTATCCATAATTTCCCTTTCGTAGTTGGGATAGATCGTGCCTGCTGGCCAGAAGAGTAACCCTATAATTTTTTAATTTTTTATTTTTTGCAGTTTTTGGCCAGGGCCAGGTTTGAAACCGCCACCTCTGGTATAGGGGGCCGGTGCCCTACTCCCTTGAACCACAGGAGCCACCCGAGTAACCTTATTCTTCGCCTGTTTGTTCAAGGCACAAGGAACACAGAATGGCCAGTAGGATTTAAACTTCCAGTTCACTGGATCTTTTGTTGGAGGATGCTTCTAGTGGAAGCATTTGTCTCCAAAGAACCAAGATCTTCACATCTGTAGACATCTAGTCTAAAGCATTTTTAAATGCTAGAACTCTGTATTGCTCAAAGCTATTTAGAAACCTTGCTTTTGAAAATAAAGACAGAAGAAAAGCATGCTTAAGTAGTAGTGTGCCTGGTAAATACCTGCGTGATCTGTACCTTTCTAGTCTTTCATTTTCTCTGTCTCACTGACAAACACATGCAACAAAGAACATGCAAAAGAGATGCCTGTAGACCACTGCAATTATTAGTGTCTGCCATGTGGGGAGATGGCATGGAGGGATGTTCTTTGCTTCTACCTACCAAAATGACAAGAGGAAGTACAAGTAGATTTAAATGTAAAATTAACAGTTCACTCACTCTTCAACAACTCCTTAGCTTTTTCTATTCAACGATAGATCTGAAAAGGACACCATACTTTCTACAAATGCTTTTACAGCTAATACACCTATGTTTTAGAGTAGTAGGTTATATCCAATAAAGTAATATTATTGAAATTCATGTAATAGTTAAAATTAGACAATAATAACAAAACAGTGATTTATTTTAGGTTTTTAAGCTTGTATCAAAATATACAAATTCAGAGCTGGACAAGGTGGCTCACACCTGTAATCCCAGCACTTGGGAAGCTGAGATGGGTGGATTGCCTGAGGTCATGGGTTCGAAACCAGCCTAAGCCAGAGCAAGACCTCATATCTAAAAACAGCTGGATGTTGTGGCGGGCGCCTGTAGTCCCAGCTACTTGGGAGGCTGAGGCAGGAGACTTGCTTGAGCCCAAGAGTTAGAGGCTGCTGTGAGCTGTGATGCCATGGCACTCGGGGGATAGCTTGAGGCTCCATCT